GCTCACTGCAACCTCTGCCTCCCAGGTTCAAGAGATTCTCCTGCCTCAGCCTTCCAAGTAGCTGGGATTATAGGCATACACCACCACACTCCACTAATTTTTTGTGTTTTTAGTAGAGGTGGGGTTTCACTGTGTTGGCCAGGCTGGTTTTGAATGCCTGACCCCAAGTGATCCACCCTCCTCGGCCTCCCAAAGTGCTAGGATTACAGGCGTGAGCCACCATGCTTGGCCTACACTTGTTACTCTTGCCATGTAGTCTGTATTTCCTTTGGAGTAGGAGTCTAGAAAATACATCATTTTGCTGGGCACAGTGGCTCACGCCTGTAATCCCTGGCTCATGCCTGTGAATCCCAGCCAACCCCCTTTTTTGGGGAAGGCCGAAGGCGGGACGGGATCCACCAGGTTAGAAAGTTCGAAGAAAACAGGAACTGGCCCATGTGCGTGGAAACCCGCCATCTCCCCCACTAAAAATACAAAAATTAGGCCAGTTTGATGTCGGGGCAGGGGCCCCCACTTGTAATCCCAGGGCTACTCAGAGGGGCTTGAGGCAGAGAATTCAACTTGGAACCCGGGAGGGCAGAGGTTGTGGTGAGCCGGGATCACCCACACTTGCAGGTTGCCCCCAAGTCTGGGTGACAGAGTTGGACTGTCGCTCAAAAGGGAAAAAAAAAAAAAAAAAACGGATAATTACATTATTTTAAAAGGGAAATGGCCCGGGCGCGGTGGCGCTCAAGCCGTTGTAATCCCAGCACTTTGGGAGGGCCGAAGACGGGCGGATCACGGATGGTCAGGGAATTGAGGACCATCCTGGGGCTAACACGGTTGAAAACCGCGGTCTACTACTAAAAAATACAAGAAAAAAACTAAGCCCGGGCGGAGGGTTCGGCGTGCGGGCCTGTAGTTTCCCAGCTACTCGGGGGTCGGGCTGAGGCAGGAAATGGCATCATAAAACTCCGGGGAGGCGGGCTGCAGTGAGGGCGAGATCCGGTCCACTGCGGCCCCAGGCCTGGGCGGTACCAGAGCAGGACTCCCGTTCTTCAAAAAAAAAAAAACAAAGTTGAAAAAAAAAAAAAAAAAGTGAAATATAATATTTTCAAAAGTATATATTTTTATTATTATAGTTGTTAAGACTGATATTTTTGTAATTTTTTACTTTCAAGTGTCTTTGAATATATTCCTATCTCCACAAATAGTTGTGCCACATCCATCATTCATTTCTCCTCTCTGCCAATTTGGTGGGGATTCGTCAAAACCTAGTTCACTCCATTATGTGCGTCACTCAAGGGAGCTTCATCCAGCATGCATGTTCATGGAGAACTTGACGCCAAAGAGGTGCTTCCTCGTTTTCTTTCTTTTCTTTTTTTTTTTTTTTTGAAATGGAGTCTTGCTCTGTTGCCCAGGCTAGAGTGCAGTGGTGCAATCTGAGCTCACTGCAACCTCCACCTCTCGGGTTCAAACAATTCTCCTGTCTCAGCCTCCTGAGGAGATGGGATTACAGGTGCCCACCACTGCACCCGGCTAATTTTTGTATTTTTAGTAGAGACAGGGTTTCATCATCTTGGCCAGGCTGGTCTTGAACTCCTGACCTCGTGATCCACCCGCCTTGGCCTCCCAAAGTGCTGGGATTACAGGCGTGAGCCACTGTGCCCGGCCTGCTTCCTCATTTTCTTCCTGATTTATAGTATGCTTGCCTCAGCTTTCATAGCAGCGGCATGCTTATTCCTTCCTCTAGGCATCAAGGTATCAGCAGGATCGATTTCTTCTGAGAGCTACAAGGGAGAGGTCTGTTCTAGCCCTCTCTCCTTGGCTTGCAGATGGCCATTTTCTCCCTGTGACTTCACATTGTCTTCCATCTATCTCTGTGTCCAAATTTCCCTTTTTGTAAAGGTATCAGTCATGTTGAATTAGGGTCCTCTCTAATGACTTCACTTTCATTTGATTACATCTGCAGTGAGCAGTTTCCTCAAATAAGGTCACATTCTGAGGGATGGAGATTTAGGACTTCAACATTTGAATCTGGGGAAGACACAATTCAACTCATAACAACATGTTAATTTGCTACTTACGAACTTCTCTCCCTTTTTTTTAAAGAATGTACATGGCAAGTCAAAGCAAATGATCGCAAGTACCATGAACAACCTCACTTTATGAACACAAAGTTCTTTTGTATTAAGAAGAGTAAATATGCGGTGAGTTGTTAACTTTCTGAATTGTTTTTATTAAAATGCAGTTTTTTCCAGTAGCTGGCATGCTTACTACCTTCTTGCTACACCTGCCTTCTATGTAACCACCTGCCTGGGGCTATTGATAATCATTATTATTTCTATAGAATGTCATTTTTATTGATGTTTATCTTTGGGGTGCGTTAGAGGGTGACTTGAAACAAAACAGAATTATGGAGATTGAAATTGTCTCTCTTTTTTAAATTTTAAGCTCTCTAAAAATGTTTTATGAAAGAATATACAATGACGGCACAGAAGCCTCCTGTTTGAAAGTAATGGGTTTCAAAGGAATCGCTTAAGAACTTATCTTCCCCTTCTCTGCCTGGAATGGATTTAGAGATTTTAAACATATTTTCGACTCAGAAATACTTATTACCTTTGGAATGTGATAAAGAATGCTTAAAGATTAAACGTGAATTGCAAAAATTAGCCTGGCGCGGTGGCATGTGCCCATGGTCTCAGCTACTCGGGAGGCTGAGGCAGGAGAATCGCTTGAGCCCAGGAGGCAGAGATTTCAGTGAACTGAGACTGTGCCATGGCATTCCCGCCTAGGTGACAGGAGTGAGACCCTGTCTCAATAATAATAATGATAAATATTAAGTGTGGGCTTAAATGTTGTAAGATGTGTGTTTTAGTTCCAAGGGCTCCCATAACAGAGTACCACAACTGGATGGCTTAAAACAACAGAAGTTCACTCTCTCCCGATGCAGGGATCAGAAGTCTGAAATCTCCGTGTTGGTAGGGTTGGCTCCTTCTGGAGCCTCTGCAGGAGAATCTGTTCCCTGCCTCTCCCCTGGCTTCTGGTGGCCACTGGCAATCCTTGGAGTCCCTTGGCTTACAGATGAAGTCACCCCAATCTCTGCTTCACTCTTCCTGTGTGTGTCTGTGTGCAGCTTTCCTCTTATAGGGACCCCAGTCCGAATAAGCACCTCATTAAATTAGAGCCTGTCCTAATCCCGTCTGACTTCATCTTGATTATCTCTGCGAAGATCTTATTTCCAAATAAGATCCCACTCGTAGATATTAGCGTTAAGACCTGAACATATCTTTTGCAGGACACAATGCAACCCACTACAGTACCTTTTGCTCTTTCTTACGTAGTAGGTCTTCTGTCTCCTCACTTAAATAAAAGCGTCACTTTTCCTGGCTTTTGCCATGTTGTTGTCTACCTTTACCCTGTTTTCTAACAGTCTCCAATGGGTCAAGGAATCTGACAGCACGATTTATTTGGTCACAGTCTGATGTATGTTTCTTCTTACTGCCTCTGTCATAAGACTCCAAGTAGTCATTGTGAGGCTTGGCTGCTTGGCTAGAATTAAAAGCTTAAAAGAAATGTCAGCATCTTTCTTTTCTTTTCTTTTCTTTTTTTCTTTTTTTTTTTTTTTAAGGCAGAGTTTCACTCTGTCGCACAGGCTGGAGTGCAGTGGGACGATCTGCAACCTCTGCCTCCCGGGTTCAAGTGGTTCTCCTGTCTCAGCCTCCCAAGTATCTGGGACTACAGGTGTGCACCACCACTCCTGGCTAATTTTTGTATTTTTAGTAGAGATGGGGTTTCACCATGTTGGCCAGGCTGGTATCAAACTCCTAGGCTCAAGTGATCCACCCACCTCGGTCTCCCAAAGTGCTGGGATTATAGGCATGAGCCACCGCACCCAGCCAAAATCCTCAATATCTTTCTGATAGATTATGTTCCTTTGTCACTGTAAGCTGTGGGACTTAGTGATTTTTGCAGATGTGTATACATTGTGATAAATACAGCATCATTTAGAATGACTCTTATTTTTTCCAACAGAATAATGCAATTAAAACATACAAGTACAACGTACTTACCTTTATACCAATGAATCTGTTTGAGCAATTTAAGAGAGCAGCCAATTTATATTTCCTGGTTCTTCTTATCTTACAGGTAATGCCTTTTGCTATCTTAAATCTGTTTGAATTATAGTGACTCAATAACATTTAAGCTGTAGACACATATAATGCGAATAATCTTGAAAGTGTTTTATATTAGCATCAGGGTTCTGTATATAAAGGAACAGTGCCTCATACACAGAACCAGCTCAATCAGTGCCATATGAACAGGGAAAGGGAGCAAATGGAAATATTATTCTAATTCTGTATTATTAAAAATTTCATGTTATACTGATATTGGTGTTAAAACTGGTATCCCTGAAGTGAATAAAACTAAAATCTAGCCAGGCACAGTGGCCTATGCCTGTAATCCCCGCACTTTGGGAGGCCGAGGTGAGCGGATCACCTCAGGTGAGGAGTTTGAGGCCAGCCTGGCCAACATGGTGAAACCCCATGTCTACAAAAATACAAAAATTAGCAGGGCATGATGGCAGATGCCTGTAATCCCAGCTACTTGGAAGGCTGAGGTGGGAGAATCACTTGAAGCTGGGAGGCGGTGGTTGCAGTGAGCCGAGATCATGCCATTGCATTCCAGCCTGGGCACAGCGACGCGAACCTCCGTGCTCAAACAAAAAAAAGAAAAAACAAATAAGGCTGGCGTGCGCGCTGGCTCACCCCTGCACTCTCAACACCTCTTGGAGGCTGCAGAGGGTGGATTCACACTGAAGTCCAGTAGCTCCGAGACCAAGCCCTGGCTAACATGGGAAACCCCCTTGTCTACAAAAAAAAACTAAGAACACAAAAAACTGTAGCCAGGCAATCCGATGGTGCGCCCGCGCCTGTAATCCCAGCTACTCATGAACGCTTGAGGCAAGAGAAGCGCTTGAACCCAGGAGGCAGAGTGCCCTCGAGACTCCCACCATGCCCGCACATCCAGCTCTCGGACAGCAAGAGCTAAACTCCATCTCAAAAAACTAAAATAACAATGAAAATCCTACACTTTGTAAGAATTATTTCGCACCCTTACGTTAAACCTATTTTTGGTCTTGCGTCCCTGTATATTATCTGCATTTACATCGCTGAATTTCCCCCAAAAAAGATCGTTGATTTTATTCATCAATTGTGTACATAAATCTTCAGTAAGTGTAGTTTGGAACGGTGTTTTACCATTTTAAAGAGCCTACTTAAATTTTTTTTTTTTCTACAATCTGTGGCAAAGGATCAGTTTATCCGGAGAGCATGAGTTTAACTGTAAGCAAGGAGAACTCCACACACACTCAGTTCGCCAGAATCAACTTTAGTCGTCCTGCTCGGCAGATCCTACAAAAGCTCAAGCCAGAATATACACCTGGATTTCACAATTCCTCTTTTTTTTTTTTTTTTTTTGCTCTTGTTGCAGGCTGGAGTGCGCGTGGCCATCATGGCTCACTGCAACCTCCTCCTCCTTCTCCTGGGTTCAAGCGATTCTCCTGCCTCAGCCCCCCGAGTAGCTGGGATCACAGTTGCCCGCCGCCACGTCCAGCTAATTTTTGTATCTTTAGTAGAGACAGGGTTTCACTATGTTGACCAGGCTAGTCTCAGATTCCTGACTTCAGTTAATCCACCCGCCTCAGCCTCCCCAAGTGCTGGGATTACAGGCATGAGCCACTGTGCCTGGTACTTTATCAGATTCTTTACAGCAAGCGTTGGATTTGGAAAACTTACACCTGCTGGGATTGACCCTCTAAGGTTTTATGAAAATGGGGTAGAATGTGTGTCTAGGTGGGGATGGAGGATGCGTGGAGAGGAGGGAAAAAGAAGAGGCGATGCTAAGGAGAAATGGATACGCAATGATTTAGGACACTGAAAGACCTGCAAGTCAGATAGTAAAGGATGGCCCTGTTATCAAAGGAGATGCTTAGACAGCTGTGTGTAGAGGTTAGCACTGCAAACTCCAAGGTGCAGCTCTATAGGAAGTAGGCCATTTTTCCTTACTTCCTTCTAGCAGGGGAGAGGAGTTTCACATATTCACCATGATATGGGAAGAAGGATCTTTCTGTCTTCCAACTGTACCCCAGTCATCTTCTCTTTTTTTTTTTTGAAATGGACTTTCGCTTTTGTTGTCAAGCCTGGAGTGCAATGGTGTGATCTCAGCTCACCACAACCACCGCCTCCCAGGTTCAAGCCATTCTTCTGTCTCAGCTTCCTGAGTAGCTGGGATTACCGGCATGTGCCACCACACCTGGCTAATTTTGTATTTTTAGTAGAGACGGGGTTTCTCTATGTTGGTCAGGCTGGTCTCAAACTTCCAACCTCAGGTGATCTGCCCACTTCGGCCTCCCAAAATGTTGGGATTACAGGCGTGAACTACCATATCTGGCCCAGTTATCTTCTCTTAAGGTCAGCAATCCAAATTAGGGTAACAGTAATAGCCGTAGGTAGCTTCTTAACTTGTGTTGTCACTACACTTAATTCTTCTAGTCTAGAAGGTCAGGCCTGGCGTGACCTCCATTTTGCAGAGAAGAGCTGAGGCCTAGTAAGCTAAAGTAACTTGCTCAAAGTCCCATAAGCCATAAATGGTAGAGCTGACTAAGCGTTGGATCTAGGAGTTGACTTCAAAGCCTGTCATTTTAACCACTACATTATATAGCTCACTGATCAGGAGTACGGTTAGGAAATAACTTTATTAAACTTGTGTCCCAATCTTTATTCAAACTTAGAGGCTATCTTGATGGAGGTAGGGCTTCTTGCAAGGCCATCTCACTTTCTTGGATAGGCCAATAGTGATGATCATGAAGGAAGCACTTTCTTCTAATGCCCTCAGAGATACTCTCCCTAATCCCTCACTTTCAGAGGCAGCTAGTACCTCCTGCCATCTTTGCCTCTAACATGGGATCCTCAGAAACCACTGGCTGAGAAACCTGCAGTGCAGAACCTACTATGCGTGCATTCCTTAAAAGTTAAGATGGCTTTGGCCAGGCACGGTGGCTCACACCTGTAATGCCAGCACTTTGGGAGGCTGAGGCAGGAAGATTGCCTGAGGTCAGGAGTTTGAGACCAACCTGGCCAACATGGTGAAAACCCATCTCTACTAAAAATACAAAAAAATTAGCCAGGTGTGGTGGCACACACCTGTAATCCCAGCTGCTCAGGAGGCTGAGGCAGGAGAATCACTTGAACCTAGGAGGTGGAGGTTTCAGTGAGCCAAAATTGTGCCACTACACTCCAGCCTGGGTGACAGAGGGAGACTCCATCTCAAAAAAAAAAGTTAAGATGAGACTTTTCCTTTGCCACTCCTACCCCCTCACCCCCAGTTAAATATAATTTTCACAAAAAATTTAGAGCAACTCTCTTTTAGGTATCATGATACAAAACTTCCTTGGTGTCCAGTTAAGGTCGCAATGAGATGATTTCAGGAGCCACTGCCCTCTAGGCTCTGTTCCAGGTGTCCAGAAGCTAGAGAGAACCACTAGAAGGAGGTTGTCCAGATGCTTAAAGAGCCTTTCCTACACACTCTGCAGGATGTAGACTCATGTGATGACGGAGATGAGACTTGGAATTAGCAAGCTTAGAATTAGCAATAAGTTACCTGTAAGCTTGATATGCCTTCATGGACACACACATAAGCCCTTTTATTCTTTTAGGCAATTCCTCAAATCTCTACCCTGGCTTGGTACACCACACTAGTGCCCCTGCTTCTGGTGCTGGGCGTCACCGCAATCAAAGACCTGGTGGACGATGTGGTGAGGATTTCTCATACAACCTTCTACTCATTGCTTTGAATTGACTTTAAGTTCTCATGCCTCCCTTCTGTATTGAGATGTTTAAAACAGCATTTCCCCATCTTCCTTCTCAAGGCTCGCCATAAAATGGATAAGGAAATCAACAATAGGACGTGTGAAGTCATTAAGGATGGCAGGTACTGTGTCTTCTTTAATTAGTAACTGAGTTTCAAGGATGTAATGCACAATTCTGCCTAGAAATATATTCAGAGATAATTATTACAATGTAGAAGGCTATTAGTACATTAACTTTTTTTTTTTCGAGAGAGAGTCTCGCTCTGTCACCCAGGCTGGAGTGCAGCAGCGCGATGTTGGTTCACTGCAAACTCCACCTTCCGGGTTCAAGCAATTTTCCTGCCTCAGCCTCCTGAGTAGATGGAATTACAGGCGTGCACCACCACACTCAGCTAATTTTTGTACTTTTAGTAGAGACGGGGTTTCACCACGTTGGCCAGGCTGGTCTCAAACTCCTGACCTCAACTTATCTGCCCTCCTCGATCTCCCAAAGTGTTGGGATTACAGGCATGAGCCACCACACCTGGCCTTAAATTATCTTTTTAATGAGTATGTACCCCGTTGTAATATATCTAATACGGATAGTGATAAAAATAGATAAAAAGATGACTACTTTGGGTACTAAATTCCATAGGAAATATTCATTAAAATTTTTAACATATCAACACTTTTAAAAGTTTTAAACTATGATATTGTTTTAAAGATTTTCCCATATACAAACAATATACCCAGTGGACATAATGAACCTACTATAATAATAAAATTAATTTATTTGGAGGCAGACATCTAATCACTATATGTTTATCTGCCATTCATTTATGGCCAGAAATGACCTGAAGATTTAAAATACATTTTTAATATATGTTTATGCCCCAGTTCCCCTAATGTCACAAGAATTTAGTATACAATTCTTAACTCCAGGATTTAAAAAAAAATTCAGCTTATCTTTCAATAAACGAAATTGTAGATGTTTTACATTTCAATATTTCTGAAATTTTAAAATAGAAATTTGCATGTAAGTCTGAAATGACAAATGGATAGGCCTGTACCTTCTTGGCAGGGCTATTAGAAGGCAATTCTGAATACTGAAATATTGGAGGCAATTCTGTTAGAATTGTGACCCCACTGCAAGGGCTGCTCAAGCCATGGCCCTGCCAGACATGCACCCTAGACTTCCAATTCAAGGCAACCCAGAGCTCCTCTTTACCAGTGTCGTAGCTATGGTACAGGCTAAACATATGGGCTGGCCAGGCACGGTGGCTCACACCTGTAATCTCAGGACTTTGGGAGGCCAAGGCAGGAGGATCACTTGAGGCCAGGACTTCGAGGCCAGCCTGGCCAACTTAGTGAGACTCCTGTCTTAACAACAACAACAACCTCTTCTGCTAGGCTCATTGGGACACTTATTCTGTTTTACTGAATAAAGTGTTTCCTAATCCTAGAATTGTAAACAAAGCCAATTAAGATCTTTAAATTGTTGTGATTTTGTCTTTTGACACTTGAAAGGTAACTTTGGAACATAATTTTTTTATTTGCAAGGGAAAAAAAGCCACCTAAACATATTTATAGCTTGGTATAATCTATATTTGAATTATACAGGGTGAAAGTACGGCTGTAAATCAGGTTATTTTCCTCAGTGTTGACACATAAAAAGTCTTGGAATTAGGCCTTAGTTACTATTTTTAGCACTTGAATTTGCAGTTCTGCCTGGAGGCTCTTGCTCAAAAAACAACTCATTACTGATCGCTGAGTTGGTGCTTTCGTTACAGTTGACTACATTAAATTAACAAACACTTATGGAGCACTTTCTGCATGTTGGAGGCAGGACAGTATCCTTGAGAAACTTACAGTTCAAGACAGAAGATGAGACACCTACACACATCATTCTAATAAAATCCATATCAGAATAAAAAACGATAAAAACAAAATGCTCTGACAGTTCAGGGAAGGCAAAAGTCACTTTAGCAAGGGAATGTGGGGAAAGATGTCAAGACTGAGCAAAGCCCTGAAGATGATGTGCTAGGGAGGCTGAAGGAGTTGTGTAAACACAAGTTGTGCTGACAATACAAAGCTCCATTAGACAACTGACCATAATCCAATTTGTGTATAGCCTCGGGGCCTTAAAGGGAATGCAGTGTCTTTGCCAGTTAAGCCTTTACAATTAAGAAGTTAACAGGCCAGGTGAGGTGGCTCATGCCTCTAATCCCAGCACTTTGGGAGGCCCAGCTGTGTTGATCACCTGAGGTCAGGAGTTCGAGACCAGCCTGGCCAACATGGTAAAAACCCATCTCTGCTAAAAATACAAAAATTAGTCGGGCGTGGTGGCACATGCCTGTAGTCGCAGCTACTCGGGAGCCTGAGGCAGGAGAATCTCTTGAACCCCAGAAGGCGAAGTTGCAGTGAGCTGAGATCGTGCCACTGCACTCCAGCCTGGGCAACAGAGCGAGACTCTGTCTCAATAAAAAATAATAATAATAATTAATAAATAATAAAGATAATTTAAACAGTAGAGAGTAGGCAAGCTCTGAAGCCCCCACGAAGACTCTGGCAGGCCCACGTGGGTGCCATAACGTAGGTGCTCCTGTCCTGGGACCAGCACGGAGCAAGTGATGGGTCACTGAGAAGGAACACAGCAGGGAGGCAAGTTGGACATAAGCAAAAACAAAAGGCGGTGGCAAGTATTTCCCTGCCACACACATAAGTGGCCCCCATAAACTCTTCCTTACATGACGTAGAGGGAAAGAGCATATCAAAGTCATCATCATTGCTTCCTTCAGAGGTCAGTACGATTTTCATGCCCACTTAACATGTTTACGTCATTAAAAAAGCAAAATGTTATCATTTTCTCTGTGACTTACACATTTTCCAGAATCTGTAACATCCAGAAAGAATAGTAATTCCCTTGCCTGTAACTTAAAATTTCAATAAATCCTCATTATTTTTAATCCTTAGGTTCAAAGTTGCCAAATGGAAAGACATTCAAGTTGGAGACGTCATTCGTCTGAAAAAAAATGATTTTGTTCCAGTAAGTGACCAACTTCTGCTTCTCTCGTTCCTTGTTCTCCCCCAGCCCCTGCGCTCGGCTTCTCCCTCAGGGTCTCGGTGTTATCGGGGTGTGTTTTCTTTTGGACAGGCTGACATTCTCCTGCTGTCTAGCTCTGAGCCTAACAGCCTCTGCTATGTGGAAACAGCAGAACTGGATGGGTAAGTGTGTCTCAATGGGCCTCATTTAAAGCTGGCCTTTGAAGGCACATTCATTCCATTGAAATCGGAGCATTCTGGACCAGAGGGATTGGTATCTGGCGTTGCCTCTGCCACCTGCTGCCTGTCCCTACCGATCTCACCTTTGCCCCTCTGTGAAGCAGAGCTCTACCCACCTGCCTGTCACCACCTCTCAGGGAAGGTAAAAGGATCAGACAGGCGCATATCTGTCTGAGCCCTTTATCAACTGCTGAGCAGTGTCCAGACAGATATGAATAATACTGAGGTTATTATCTGTGTCAGAGAAAGGAACAGATTTTTAAAGTCTTTACCAATAGGCAATTGATTTATTTATTTTTGAGACAGAGTCTCACTCTGTTGCGTAGGTTGGAGTGTAGTGGAGCTATCTCAGCTCACTGCAAGCTCCACACCCGCTGGGTTCAAACAATTCTCCTGCCTCAGCCTCTTGAGTAACTGAGATTACAGGTGCCAGCCCCCATACCCAGCTAATTTTTGTATTTTTAGTAGAGATGGGGTTTCACCATGTTAGCCAGGCTGGTCTCGAACTCCTGATCTCAAGTGATCTGCCTGTCTCGGCCTGCCAAAGTGCTGGGATTACAGGGGTGAGCCACTGCACCTGGCCTCAATAGGCAATTCTGAATTCTTCTTGTGTTGGTTTTGGTTACTATGCTATCATTTAAAAGAGAATAAAGTTCTGTTTTTGACCAGTTTTCTGACCAGTTTTCAAGGCATTTATTGAGTGCTCACGAGGTTGCAGGCACTTTACATATTAGCTCATTGAATCCTCTAAATGACCATGTGAGATGAATATTACTGGTCGGTATTACCCATAAGGAATCGGAGGCCCAGGGAGGTGCAGCAGCCTGCCCAAGGTCACACAGTGAGTGGTAGAGTCGGGACATTGCTCCCTCTGCTCCTCGTGCCTCATGCTCCAGATATGCATACACTGCTTTACAGAGAGCCGAAATCATGAGACTGAAAACTAGGGCTGGCTGGGCGCGGTGGCTCACACCTGTTATCCCAGCACTTTGGGAGGCCAAGGCGGGCAGATCATGAGGTCAGGAGATCGAGACCATCCTGGCTAACACACTGAAACCCCGTCTCTACTAAAAATACAAAAAATTAGCCAGGCATGGTGGCGGGCGCCTGTACTCCCAGCTACTCTGGAGGCTGAGGCAGGAGAATGGCATGAACCCGGGAGGTGGAGCTTGCCGTGAGCCGAGATCGCGCCACTGCACTCCAGCCTGGGCAACAGAGAGAGACTCCGTCTCAATTATAAAAACAAAAAACAAAAAACTAGGGCTGTCTTTGCTTCATAGATCAGTCAATTGACTGTTGGAAATCTATCACACTTTTTTTTTTTTTTTTTTTGAGAAAAACTTAAAACCAATTAACCACTTCTTAATTGTAAAGACTTAACTGACAAAGACACTGCATTCCCTTTAAGGCCTTGAGGCTATACCCAAATTGGAGTATGGGCAGTTGCCTGATGGAGCTTTGTGTTGTCAGGTTGGTCTCAAACTCCTGACCTCAAGTGATCTGCCTGCCTCTGCCTCCCAAAGTGCTGGGATTACAGGCATGAGCCACCACGCCCAACTGACTGTTTGTTCTTAACTATAAAACTGCTATTATTTCCATGAAAGATTCTAAAGCTTTACAAAGACATAAGATCCTAACATGCCCTGTCAGAACAGAATGGTGAGGTTGAGAATGAACTTACCTAGTCCATGGAAATTCCTGAGTGTTCCTGAATCCTATATAAAGCCATCAGTCATGAGAAGGCAGCCTCACCCTGTCCCCAGCCTGCCCTTGTGCTCACCCATGACCTTACCTTGCACTGTGGTGGGGCAATTGGGAGTAAAGCTACCACCTCCTTTTCCGAATGAAATTGTCTTTCAAAAACATGTGATCCAGTTATTCACTCTGGAAAAGAATTTGACGGAGGCGAAACAGAATTTCTGTAACAAATACGTGTTATAGAATCATCTTAATATGATTAAATATTAGACGCTACCTTTTCAAATAGCCCTTTGGTAGTCCCAGCTGGTGGTAAAGGTCAAGTCAGTGGGAAGGATGTTTGTGGGCACCTCTCTGCTAACCTTCACAACAACAAACAGTGAAGGGAACCAACATTTCCCAAGGTCGGAAATGTTCTCTAGTTCAGGGCATAACCTTATCCAAGCCTGAAATTCCAAGGTGAACAGAGTTTGAAAATAGAAACAGCTAATTATTTAGCCTTCATATCCAGATACAGCTAATATAACTTTGGATGATTAACATCCATTTCGAACTCGAAAATTTGTTCATTTAATTCATTCATTTTTCCCCCTTCCTTTAGAGAAACCAATTTAAAATTTAAGATGTCACTTGAAATCACAGACCAGTACCTCCAAAGAGAAGATACATTGGCAACATTTGATGGTTTGTACAAAACATGTCTTACTTTGCTTTAAATTTCAGTTGCTTGGTTCAATTCCTATTGATTAACACCAGAAAGAGTTTTGTATGTGATTAATTATGTGAATCTTATATTTTTAAAAGGTTTTGTTGAATGTGAAGAACCCAATAACCGACTAGATAAGTTTACGGGAACACTATTTTGGAGAAACACAAGTTTTCCTTTGGATGCTGATAAAATTTTGTTACGTGGCTGTGTAATTAGGAACACCGATTTCTGCCATGGCTTAGTCATTTTTGCAGGTACTTTCAGAGTTTCTTGGGAAATTAATCAGCTATGATCTTTAAAGACTTAAAGGAGGGGATTGCTTTTCTGTCCTTTCTCTATCAAAACCAAAAGAAGAGTAATAGCATTGTGAGCTATTCCTTTTTTTTTTTTTTTGGAGACAGAGTCTGACTCTGTAGCCCAGGCTGGGAGTTGCAGTAGTGTGATCTCAGCTCACTGCAACCTCTGCCTCCTGGTTCAAGTGATTCTCCTGTCTCAGCCTCCAGAGTAGCTGGGATTATAGGCATGTGCTACCATGCCCGGCTAATTTTTGTATTTTTAGTAGAGACAGGGTTTGCCATGTTGGCCAAGCTGGCCTCGAACCCCTGACCTCAGGTGATCCGTCCACCTCAGCCTCTAAAAGTGCTGGGATTACAGGCGTAAACCACCATGCCTGGCCAAGACAAGTAATTTAATTGGTGAGCCATGAATTGATTTTTTTTTCACAATTGATAATTACATTGACTTTTCCATTTTCAGGTGCTGACACTAAAATAATGAAGAATAGTGGGAAAACCAGATTTAAAAGAACTAAAATTGATTACTTGATGAACTACATGGTTTACACGGTATTTATTTTTCATCTCAGTAGATCTCTCATCTAGATTGCTGTCTTTTGCGCTAATATTATTGTATGTTTTTCTAATACAAAGAAATCTTACCTCTTTAGGTGGAACAGAAAAATTCTTGGGCACTCCAAGCTTCAAATGCAGGAAGAAGGGATTTTTGTCAAAAACACCTCACTTTTTCTCAGAAATGCCACACTTTTAACAGGAGAATCCCCTTGGGAAGGGAAATTTCAGTTGTAGGGTGCCCTGAGTGCTTTGATGACGGGAACTGGAAAACCCGGAAGCCCTAGATAAATTAGTGAAGCTGGACTCCTGAAATCAATGTAGGGTTGATTTCATTGCTGTTACTTTCCCATAGAGGCAGTTCTCTTAGAAGCAAACCTCCCCTGGCCCCCCCCACCCTGCAACGTCTACTGTATAGCTCCAAATACAAGGCAAGGCTTAAAATAAAGTATGTCGAGGACCCCCAAGATCACTTCCAGATTTGATGATTCACTGGAAGGACTCATAGGCCCCAGCACATCATTGTATTCACAGCTGTGACACATTACAACAAAAGGACACAGAGCAAGATCAGCCAGAGGCTCATGGAGCAAAGTGCAAAGGAAACCAGGCGCAAGCTTCCAAAAGTCTGCCATCCCTCCCGCACTCCCCACCAAGCCACACACACAATAGGCACTTAATTCTCCCAGCAGCAATTAATGACACCACAAGTGAAATGTTGTCTATACCAAGGAAGCCCATGAGAGACTCGGTGTCAAGGGTTTTTAACAAAAAAACTCTAGACTCCCCAAAAGAATACAGATGATCAGCATAAACCATGCTGTTTGCACAGTTAGGCATCATGAGTTATTCTTTTTTTTTTTTTTGAGATGGAGTTTCACCCATCTGCCCAGGCTAGAGTGCAATGGCATGATCTTGGTTCACTACACTCTCCGCCTCCCAGGTTCAAGTGACTCTCCTGCCTCAGCCTCCGAAGTAGCTGGGATTACAGGCAGCCGCCACCCCACCTGGCTAATTTTTGTATTTTTGGTAGAGATGGGGTTTCACCATGTTGGCCAGGCTGGTCTCGAACCCCTGACCTCAAGTGATCTGCCCGCCTCGGCCTCCCAAAGTGCTGGGATTACGAGCATGAGCCACTGCACCCAGCCCATGAGCTATTCTCATCAGAGAATAAAAAATAACCAGGAAATCCTCCAAACATCTAAGTTACCAGATACCAGCCCAGGGCAAACCCTGCAAGCAGGCTTCGGAGGAAGCAGTCTCAGACCTGCTATGTTCGCTCTTTTCTGCCCATGTGGTGACCCCAAATATTAAGCACTCCTTCTATTTCCCAACGAAAATTTTTTCAAGTATTTAGTTCAATTTGAATGCATACTTCTAATACTTACTCTTTGATTGCATATACATATTTAAAATCAGATAAAAATAATAATTTAAGAAACATTTTCCCCTGCTTTCTTGTTTCATGAGAATTGTATTTGAACTTTTCACAGTCATCGCTGGTGTCATGGTTGTGGTTATGAGTGCGGCACTCTCAAAAGCCTGTTGGCACTCTGCTATTTCCATGACAAAGTTGTGAGATATAGCACTTTTGGAGTCTGTGTTCAGAAATTTAAATTTGTCTCTGGAATTTTATTCCCACTTGCGAATCTCTGAGTACCACTAGGAGAGTTGACTTTTTATTCCTTCCATAAATATATGCTCATAACTTCTACAACATAATACTTATATTGCTTCTTAAGTGATCTTATTTTACAATGTTATGCAATACTTGTGACATTACACCTTAAGGAATAATGGCCCAAATATAGGTGAAATTTTGTTACCCTGAAAAAAAAATTATGGTTGGGCGAGGGCCACCTGTAATCCCAGCAATTTGGGAGACTGAGGCAGGCAAATCACTTGAGGCCAGGAGTTCCAGACCAGCCTGACCAACATGGTGAAACTCATCTCTACTAAAAAGACAAACATTAGCCAGGCATGGTGGCGCATGCCTGTAATCCCAGTCACTCAGGAGGCTGAGGCATGAGAATTGTTTGAACCAGGGAGGCGGAGGTTGTAGTGAGCCACAGTGGCACCACTGCACTCCAGCCTGGGCGATACAGTGAGACTGTCTTTAAAAAAATCTGTTGAATATTTTCTATAAGCATTCCAGTTTTCCAATTCAGCCTTGTTGGAAGTTGTTTCATGCTAAGTAAGATATCTTCCCCAAACAGTATGTTATTGTTCAAAGTAAACATAATTGAGAGAATGCCCTATAATATAAGACTCTTCAAGGATTTGAATGTAAGACACCACTTTCTCTTTTGAAAGATAATTTTGGGAACAAAACCTCACCTTCTGTGGGAGATGTAGGATACATGAGTCAATCGTAGCAATCAAATAGACTTTCAAAGCGTTTTGTTGGCGCTGTTTTTATTTGACATACGTTATTTTTATAGACTACTAAATTCTCAAACATATGAAGTATTGAGTAAGGTTAATTAGCATCTAGGAAATGCAAGAGGTTGGAAATCCATCTTCAGAATGCATTTAAATGTTTTCTGTCTTCTAGATCTTTGTTGTTCTTAGTCTGCTTTCTGCTGGTCTTGCCATCGGCCATGCTTATTGGGAAGCACAGGTGGGCAATTACTCTTGGTACCTCTATGATGGAAAAGACGATACACCCTCCTACCGTGGATTCCTCAATTTCTGGGGCTATATCATTGTTCTCAATACCATGGTACCCATCTCTCTCTATGTCAGGTAAGGCTGTCCTCTCTGGCATTTTGCTTTAATGGAAGAATGTTGTACCTTCTCCCAACGTAGTGCCTTCATTTCTAACAATCATTGTTTCAAAGGTCACAAAGAACAGGTAAGAAAATCTCGTTCATTTCAGAACTGAGGGTAAGAGAGGAAAAGGAAATTAACATTTGAGTATCCACTCTGTGCCAGGCACCTTTTATCTCATCCTGTTTGCAGATAAGGCTAGGGAATTTCAAAGATCGATTGATACTCCTGTAGTCATTGTCTTATTAGTGAGGTTCCCTTCACACCGGGTTCCAAAGCCCAGACTTCAGAAAGAACCTGGGAGGAGGGGAAGGTTTAGCATGTGATAGAAAAACTTAGTTTTCCCTTTCGAAAGTGGTCCTCACCTCTTATCTGAGCCTTCCTTATTATCATCTGCCACACCTAAGGTGGAGAACTTGTGCTTTCTGGCCACTACCTCCTGGTAGGAAAGAAATTTCCTGTCCTTCATCAACCTCTCAAAATGTTCTCTTTTCATCTCAAATCTCAATCACAACAACAAAGTCAGGGGCATATATCTCTGATAAGTGGTAAGCAGCTGATTTGATGATATGTCTTAATTTTTCACTTTTACTTTTTTTTTTTTTGAGATAGAGTTTCACTCTTGTTGCCCAGGCAGGAGTGCAATGGCATGATCTTGGCTCACTGCAACTTCCACCTCCCGGGTTCAAGCGATTCTCCTGCCTCAGCCTCCTGAGTAGCTGGGATCACAGGTGCCCGCCACCACGCCTGGCTACTGTTTTGTATTTTTAGTAGAGATGGGTTTCACCAAGTTGGCCAGGCTGGTCTTGAACGCCTGACCTCAGGTGATCTGCCCACCTCGCCTCCCAAAGTGCTGGGATTACAGGCGTGAGTCACCACGCCCGGGATTTTTCTCTTTTTAATAGGAAAGTTCACTGCCCTTGGCCAAACTGACTTTGAGAGCTTTTTGGGAGGGTCAGTGCTTTGGAATAAACCCAGCAGCCAGAGTTCATTCTTAGTTCTGATAAAGAATAGCCCAGAGACATAGGGATCACATACACACCTATAATTAGAGGCATTTATTTTATTTTAGTGTCATTATATGTGCATTTGCTTTACTTTTAATTTGATTACATGTAGTTACTGTTGTTCTTTGAGAAAAACTGAGATGAGTGTTACCTTTGTCAAGGGAACTGTTACACAGATAATTTTGCCTAAAACTATCAATGTGTATTCTAAAAGAAACTGTATACGTAATTTTGTATAAAGGTATGTCACGTGACAAATATGATTTCTTTATTTTCTTGGAGATAAAGGTCCTTTGAAAACATGCTGGAGCAAGTTCTTCCAGATAGTATCTCTGCTTTGACTTCAACCCTCATTCAGAATAAACCCACCCCGCAAGGCCCCAAGTGTGATCTGGTGCTCAGCCTTCCACTCTGCCCGTACCTTTTGCATCTCAGCCCACCTCCCTGTGCTTCTGCCACCCTGGCCCCTTGATACTCTTCCTGCCACAGGGCCTTTGTACCCGCTCTTTTCTCTGCCAGGAGCATCCTTATGTAGGTATCTATCTGCTCCCCTTTCACTAAAAAGGCTTCTACTCAGACAACACCTTATTACCGTGCCCTTTCCTGACTCATTCTGTTTCTGACCACTTCTCCTTCATGGAGATCTTCATATCTCCTTACCTTGCTTTGCTTTGATTTTTGTTTGTTTGTTGTTTGTTTTGTTTTGAGACAGAGTCTTGTTCTGTTTCCCAGGCTGGAATGCAGTAGCACGATCTCAGCTCACTGCAACCTCCGCCTGCCGGGTTCAAGTGATTCCGCTACCTCAGCCTCCCTAGTAGGTGGGATTACAAGCACATGCTACCATGCCTGACTAATTTTTGTGTTTTTAGTAGAGTTGGGGTTTCACCATGTTGGTCAGGCTGGTCTCGAACTCCTGACCTCATGATCTGCCCATCTCGACCTCCCAAAGTGTTGGGATTACAGGCGTGAGCCACCATACCTGGCCTCTGCTTTGATTTTCCGCAGAGAGCTTCTGTCTCTGATACAGCCTCTCTTTATTAGTTTATATATTTGTCTGTCTCTACTAGAAAGTAACCTCCTTAAGAGAACGGACTTTGTTTTGTTTACAGACACGTCCCCTGCACCTAGAATGGTATCTGGTACATAGTAGGCACTTAAGAAATATTTATGGAAGGGAAAGAAGTGGGGAGAGCATTATTTTTCCATCTGTTTAACTTGTTATGGACTTCCTTTGCCCACCTAACAATTGCTGGCTATGTAAACAGCTTCCTTATAACTGAGATAGGTAATGTCCCTTACAGTTTTAAAATTCACATGATCCTTTTATAATATCTTATTTTGGATATTCTATAACCTTATCATAATTTAGGGATCACGATTTGGGGTATTTGCCAAAAGCCTTTTGCCCTATTTGAGAGCGCAGAGGAGTCTGTACCCTAGGGTATTCTCACTCCCTCTGCCCTACCACTGAGGGCAAAGGTGAACGTGACCATTCCAGTGCCCCTGGGTGCTATGGGGAATGGGGGAGAAGAGTCAGTCTTGCTGTGTCCACTGCTCTGTCTGCGGTGTTGCTGTGTCATCCATTCTGCTGGGCTGTGGATTCTGAACATGGGTGCCTTGGCTAAACGTGCCCAGGAGTGAGTGGCAAATCTCACTGAGCAATTTTGAATGGAAATTACTTGTCTAAAATCAGCTTGACCCTGACGCCTGAGAATGATGCATGTGGTTAGGAGAAACCAGAGGCTGAATGCATGGGCTTGTCTCCTTGGAGAGGGCTTAGTTTGGGCTGATGTAACAAAAGATCTTCGAAATTTATTGCTCACAGTTCTGGAGGCTGGGAAGTCTCAAATCAAAGCATCGGCAGATTCAGGGTCTGGCAATGGCTCACTTTCTGCTTTATAGGCACAGCCGGTGCCTTCCAGCTACATCCTCACATGGCAGAAGGGGCAAGCAAGCTCCTTTGAGCCCCTTATTAAGGGCACTAATCCCATTCGTAAGGGTGGAGCCCTCATGACCTAATGACCTTCGAAAGGCCTCACTTCAATACTGTTGAATTGGAGACTGGGTTTCAACATATGAATTTGGATGGGGATTCTAACATTCAGACCATAGCAGTAAATAAGCAGCTTGCTCTTGTCTGTACAATGAGAATAAAATCTCTACTACTTGCCACTCATATCTGAGCTCCCTACGGAAAATAATCTTCTGTCTTCCTAGCGTGGAAGTGATTCGTCTTGGACAGAGTCACTTCATCAACTGGGACCTGCAAATGTACTATGCTGAGAAGGACACACCTGCAAAAGCTAGAACCACCACACTCAATGAACAGCTCGGGCAGATCCATTATATCTTCTCTGATAAGACGGGGACACTCACACAAAATATCATGACCTTTAAAAAGTGCTGTATCAACGGGCAGATATACGGTGAGTGGAAGCCGTCACTCATTTTCTGGGTGAGTGAGGCTGCCTGCCATGTGCAGGGCACTACCTGGACCAGAGCCTGTCTCCTGGCATTGCTGGTGCCCTCCCATTGCGGAGTCCTGCTGCTGGGACCATTCTCCAGCTGAGCACCAGAGGAGCACCATGGACAGCACTGGGGACACATGTGGGAGAGGACAGTGGCCAGAAGTGGGATCACGGCCGGGGCGGTGGCTCATGTTTGTAATCCCAGCACTTTGGGAGGGTGAAGCGGACAGATCCCACGAGGTCAGGGATTCAAGACCAGCCTTGCCAACGTGGCAAAACCCCATCTCTACTAATAATACAAAAATTAACCAGGTGTGGTGGTGGCACACACCTATAATCCCAGCTACTTGGGAGGCTGAGGCAGGAGAATTGCTTGAACCCGGGAGGTGGAGGTTGCAGTGAGCTGAGATCGCACTGCTGCACTCCAGCCTGGCGACAGAGTGAGACTCTGTCTAAAAAAAAAAGAAAAAAATTAGAAGTCTCATTACTATATGATCCAGCAATTCCACTTCAGGTTATATACTCAAAAGTACTGAAACAGGGGCTCAAAGAGGTATTTGTACACCTGTGTTCATAGCAGCATTATTCACAATAGCCAAAAGATAGAAGCAACCCAAACGTTGATCAGTGGATGAATGGATAAACAAAATGTGGATACACACAATGGAATATTATTCAGTCTAAGAAAGGAAGGAAAATTTGACACATGCTACAACACAGATGAACCTGAACTCATTTATGCCAGAGGTTAAATTTTTTTGAATTTTTGCAATCAGAACTTGGTGATGACCTTGAGCAGTAGGATATAAATAACTCCCACATGCTTAGCGTTCCAATAATGGAACACTAGGCATAAATGAGTTACGGACATTATGCTAAGTGAAGTAAGCCAGTCACAAAAGGACAAATATTGTATAATTCTACTTATATGAAGTACTTAGTATAATCAAATTTATAGAGACAAACTAGAATGATGGTTACCAGGGGCCGGGGTCAGGGGAATTGGGAGTTACTGTTTAATGGGTACAGAGTTTCAATTTGGCAAGAAGAAATAGCTGCACGACATTGTGAATATACTTGATGCCACTGAACCGTATGCTTAAAAGTGGTTAAAATGGGCTGGGTGCAGTGTCTCATGCCTATAATAATAAGACTTTGAGGCCTAGAATTCTAGACCAGCTTGGGTAACAAAGCAAAAATTTTTTAAAAATTAGCAGAGTTTGGTGCTGCATGCCTATAGTTCCAGTTACCTGGGAGGCTGAGGCAGGAAAATCCCTTAAGCCTGGGAGTTGAAGGCTACAGTGAGTACACCACTGCACTCTAGCATGGGTGACGGAGCAAGACCCTGTCTCAAAACGGCAACAACAAAAATTGGTTGGCTGGTGTGCAGGGGCTCACGTCTGCAATCACAGCACCTTGGGAGGCTGAGGCAGGTACATCCCTTGAGACCAGGAGTTTGAGACCAGCCTGGGCAACATGACAAAATCCCATCTCTGGCCAGGTACTGTGGCTCACGCCTGTAATCCCAGCACTTTGGGAAGCTGAGGTGGGTGGATCACCAAGTCAGGAGTTCGAGACCAGCCTGGCCAATATGATGAAACTCTCTCTCTACTAAAAATACAAAAATTACCTGGGCGTGGTGGTAGGCACCTGTAGTCCCAGCTACTCAGGAGGCTGAGGCAGGAGAATCACTTGAACCCGGGAGGTGGAGGTTGCAGTGAGCAAGATTGTGCCACTGCACTCCAGCCTGGGTGACAGAGCGAGATTCCGTCTCAAAAACAAACAAACAAACAAAAAAAAAACACACGCCTCTACAAAAAATAATAATAAAATAATAATAATGCAAAAATTAGCCAGGCGTGGTGGTATGTGCTTGTAGTTCCAGTTACTTGAGAGGCTGAGGTAGGATCACCTGAGCCCGGGGACATCAAGATTATTGTGAGCTGGGTTTACACCACTGCACTCCAGCCTGGGTGACAGAGTAAAACCCTGACTCAAAAAATCAAACCAAAAATTGGTTAAGATGGTAAATTTTATTATGTGTATTTCGCTACAGTTGTTTTGTTTTCTTTGTTGTTTTTGTTTTTAAGACAGTGTCTCACTGTCACCCAGGCTGGAGTGCAGTGGCGCGATCTCAGCTCACTGCAACCCCTCCACCTCCCAGGTTCACATGATTCTCCTCCCTCAGCTTCCTGGGTAGCTGGGATTACAGGCACACACCACCGCCCCTGGCTAATTTTTTTTTTTTTCCAGTAGAGATGGGGTTTCACCATGTTGACCAGGCTGGTATCGAACCCCTGACCTCAAGTGAACCACCTGCCTAAGCCTCCCAAAGTGCTGGAGTTACAGGCATGAGCCACCACACCTGGCCTGCAATTGTTTTTTTTTGTTTGTTTTTGTTTTTGTTTTTTTGAGACAGAGTCTCGCTTTGTCACCCAGGCCGGCGTGCAGTGGCACAATCTTGGCTCACTGAAACCTCTGCCTTCCGGGTTCAAGTGATTATCCTGCCTCAGCCTCCTGAGTAGCTGGGACTACAGGTGTGTACCACCATTTCCAGCTAATTTTTGTGTTTTTAATAGAGATGGAGTTTCACCATGCTAGCCAGGCTGATCTTGAACTCCTGACCCCAGGTGATCCGCCCATCTTAGCCTCCCAAAGTGCTGGGATTACAGGCGTGAGCCACCACACCCAGCCAATAGTTTTAAAAGTTGATTTCGGTTCTAATTTTCTGAAACATTTAGAAATTTAATTTTCTGTAAATTTACAAATAATATTAAGGTTGATACTAGATTCAAATAGAGTGTTCTCTATTTTAAATACACTTAAAAACACAATTGTTTAAAATGATATAGGGACATGCATATATACTTCCTACTTGTAGGAAACTGTACCCCGTGAGTGCTTTTCTCATAAGGAGTATCAGTGAAGATGGTGGGGCACTGAGGGGCTGAGGACATGGCTCACATGTGTGGATCCTTCTGACTTGGGGGAGGTAAAGCATTTCAAAGGATATGACCCAGGCCCCTAGGAGAAAGTAGTAGGGAGGGACAGGCACCAGTATTTGAATAACTAGACCAGGGGTCATCTAATGTTTTCTGTAAAGAGCCAGATAATAAATATGTTAGCCCGTCCAGGCCATATATGGTCTTACCTCCACCACTACATAAGCAAAGCCACGTAAGGAGGGGCCTCTGGACACAGGCGGAGAATCAATTTGTTTTGTCCTGTTTGTTTCTCAGGGGACCATCGGGATGCCTCTCAACACAACCATAACAAAATAGAGGTAAGGTCTTTAAGCTGAAGAATTGTTTGGGATGCTAGGGATGTCAGGGTCCCAGCAGGGCCATGCTTCCTTTGAAGGTCTAGGGAAGACTCTTTTCGTTGCCTCTTCCCTGCTCCTGGTGGTTGTCCACAGTCCTCGGTGTTCCTTGGCTTGGAGACTTGGAAACACAACTCTGTATCTCTGCTTTTGTTGTCACATGGTGTCCCCTTGTGTGTCTGTGTGTCTCTGTGTCCACACTTCCCCTTCTAATAAGGATACCAATCATTGGATTAGGACCCACCCTAATTGAGTGTCACCTCATTTTATCTTGATTACATCTGTAAAGACCCTGTTTCTAAATAAGGTCACATTCATAGGTACCAGAGGTTAGAACTTCAACATATCTTTTGGGGGAACACAGTTTAGTTCACCACAAAGTACCTTTTTGACTGGTCCTGGTGGCTCATGCCTGTAATCCCAGTACTTCGGGAGGCTGAGATGGGCAGATCAATTGAGTCAAGGAGTTTGAAACCAGAGAAACCCCATCTCTACAAAAAAAATACAAAAATTAGCCAGGTATGGTGGTGCATGCCCATAGGCCCATCTACTCAGAAGGATTGCTTGAGCCCAGGAGGCGGAGGTTGCAGAGAACTGAGATCAAGCCACTGCAGTCCAGCCTGGGTGACAGAGTGAGACCCATATATGGTCATATATGTTTCCAAAAAAAAAAAAAAGGTATCTTTTTATTGAAGACAGTTGTGAGCCTCTTGACATTTAAGAATGTGCTAAAATCCTAAGGTGGTTTTTGCATAATTGAAACCTCGCCTTTCAAGGAAAGTTCATGTCATGTGTTAAGGGAAAAATATTTTATAAAATTATATTTTGTTTTTCTCCATTTCTTTCAGCAAGTTGATTTTAGCTGGAATACATATGCTGATGGGAAGCTTGCATTTTATGACCACTATCTTATTGAGCAAATCCAGTCGGGGAAAGAGCCAGAAGTACGACAGTTCTTCTTCTTGCTCGCAGTTTGCCACACGGTCATGGTAGATAGGACTGATGGTGAGTGTTTCTCTGGCATCTCAGGCATTAGAGACCAGGTTTTCTGTTTCCGGGTAACTCCTGCTTATGACTCAAATGCATGTCAAGTAGGACAAATCTGTCGCATATTCGAATGCAGTGAATGTTTTTCAGCACTTACCACTAGATGGTTTATGGAAGAGCAAAGTAGGAAACAAGCTACTTGTCCCTGAAAATTTCCATCTTATTCATAGTTATGGCTCCAGGTGTATTTTTTTCACTTTGCAAATGAAATCTTATTGAAATGATTGATACTTGAATTATGATAGAAGAATCTAACTTTTCTTAGCACATTTATTACTGAGCATTTACTGAGTGTGAAAAGTCAAGCCTTATCTATATCAGAAATGGACTCTGAACTTGACTAACCTTTTCTACCAAATAATTTTAGATATATGCTCTTACTTACTAGATTCTGTTATAGTTTGGGTTTGAAATAATATCAGCCTCAGCCTGGATCTCTTCTGGGTGCCTTTTCCATTTAAAGGAGCATAATTAATGTGAATTTCATGGGAACAAGCAAAATGACTTGTAAGTTCCTTTGCAGAATCCTTCAATGCAGTTTGTGCCAGCTTTGTCACAGCAAGTTTTGTCCTATATCAAGGAAAGCTAGTCATTTTATCACAAATGGACATAATGATAAGTTATATAGACACACGTGCACTTTATAGAAAGAGCAAAAGGAGTTCCTTTGGTGTTTCTGTAATGAAGCATAGTCTGCCTTCACTTCATTCATTCACTTCATCCACTTCACTACATCTTCCACTTTTTACTTCAGTCAGTGCAGCATACATAAGTCCCTCTCTCTTCTCAACCTTGATGTTTCATATGTAGCAGGTATGAAATTTCTAGAGAAGGAATATGCATAAAAACTAAATGTGTAGGCCAACGCATGGTGGCTCACACCTGTAATCCCAGCATTTGAAAGGTCGAGGTGAGTGGATTGCTTGAGCTCAGGAGTTCAAGACCAGCCCGAGCAACATGGCAAAACCCCATCTCACCAAAAAATACCAAAAATTAGCCAGGCGTGATGGCACATGTCTGTAGTGCCAGCTGCTCAGGTGGGGATCGCTTGAACCCAGGAGGTCAAGGCTACAGTGAGCCATAGTCTCACCATTACACTCCAGCCTGGGTGATGGAGTGAGACCCTATCTCAAAAAAACAAAAAGTAAAACAAAACAAAAAACACCTAAATGTACAGAAGCTGTATGTGATACTTTTCAGCAAGTTGCAAAGAAACCCATTTTCCAAAGATGAATCTAATATTGCAATGAAGCAAGGTAACAGAGTTCAGATTAGGGTGGATACATGGAAGCGTTTATCAGCAGACAATGTGGGGAAAGATAGAAAGGGACGATACCAGGTCATGAATCATGGAAGCAGAGGTCAAAGTCTATTTGACTCGCCCAGCCAATTTTACTCAGTCTGTAAGCATAAAGTATGATGTTACAAAGTCACCTGGTTCTCTTTGGTTTTGACTCATTAGTACAATTGTTGTACTCTTCTCTGAGTACATGATAGTATTTTAAGGGCTAACTGGTCAACTTAGGCAAATGTAAATTCATCCTGTAGTCCCTATTCTATTTTTCCCCAGTGGGATATTATGGGAAGAGCCCTGGACTACGTGCTAGAGATGAGTCAGTCCAGTTTGGGTCCCTGTCTGAGAACCACCTTCCTCGGTGTTGTAGTAAGAAGGTTGGATGTACAAAGTTCCTTCCAGCAGGGCTGGGTGTGGTGGCTCACACCTGTAATCCCAGCACTTTGGGAGACCGAGGCGGGCAGATCACGAAGTCAGGAGTTGGAGACCAGCATGGCCAACATGGTGAAAACCCGTTTCTACTAAAAATAAAAAAAATTAGCCAAGCATGGTGGCATGTGCCTGTAATCCCAGCTACTTAGGAGCCTGAACAGGAGAATTGCTTGAACCTGGCAGGCGGAGGTTGCAGTGAGCCGAGATCATGCCACTACACTCCAGCCTGGGCAACAGTGCAAGACTCGGTCTCAAAAAAAAAAAAAAGAAAAAAAAACAAGAACACAAAGTCCCTCCAGCCTAACCTACTGCAACTCTTTGTCCACTGTCAGAATAGAGACATGTTACGTTTCTAGTGCAGGAGCTTAGAGAAATTGATTTTGGCTTTTAACCATAAAGTACCAGGAAAGGATTCCTGGAAAGGACCTTGAGGACTACGCCTCCAATTTTTTTTTTTTTTTTTTTTTTTTTTTTGATGTTTTTTTTTTTTTTTTTTTTTGAGACAGTCTTGCTCTTGTCACCCAGGCTGGAGTTTAACGGCATGATCTCAGCTCACCGCAACCTCCACCTCCTGGGTTCAAGCATAATTCTCATGCCTCAGCCTCCTGAGTAGCTGGGACTATAGATGCCCACAAGCACGCCCAGCTGATTTTTGTATTTTTAGTAGAGATGGGGTTTCCCATGTTGGCCAGGCTGGTCTCCAACTCCTGACTTCAGGTGATCTGCCCAGCTTGACCTCCCAAAGTGCTGGGATTACAGGCGTGAGCCACCATGCCCAGCCACATGCATTAGTTTTCTGCTACTCTGTAGTGAATTAGTGTAACTCAGCTACTGAAAACACCCGTTCATTAGCTTACGGTTCTGTAGGGCAGAATTCTTAGCATGGCATGACTGGGTTCTCCGCTCAGCATCTGACTAAAATCAAGTTTGGGCCATGTTCTCATCTGGAGCTCAGTGTCTTCTTCCGCGTTCAGTGTGGTTGCAGCAGGATTCAGTTCGCTATGCTTGTAGAATTGAAGTCCCCATTTCTTTATTGGCTGTCAGCTGGGTTGCTTTCCCCTCCTAGAGACTGCCCTCATTCCCTGCCAGCTGGTCCACTCCATCTGCAAAGCCAGCAGTGGAGAATCTCCCTTAAATTGAGCCTTTTTCATACTGCTCCAAGTCTCCCCACAAGAAGAGGTCTGTGCTAAGCTCATCTAATTAAGTCAGGAACACCTGGATAATCTATTTTAAGGTCAGCTGATTAGGCTCGTACATCCGCAAATTCCCTTCACAGCAGTACCTAGATTAGTGCTTGATTGTCTAACTAGGAGAAAGTGAATGTACATCCCTAGGATGGGAACCTTAAGGCCATTGCAGACTCCCGCCTGCACAGAGGTCATGTGAGAGCAGAGTGTGGAAGACTTGGAAGCCTTCACTTCACCTGGAGGTTTTGAATCGATGATCAGAGAGCTTGTCTCAGGAGTTTTGCGCATCACATTGGGTGCGAGAGTCTGAAGCAGGCAGGCACTGGAGATTGGCACAGAGGCTGAAGGTTTGTATTAGCATGGGGTCTTTGGGAAGGATGACAAAGCCATGAATCTGGGAGACACTTGGCAAATCATTTAAAGGGGGTGAGAGGATTGAGGACAAAAAGACATCTGAGAGGTAGGGTTTTTTGTTTGTTTGTTTTTGTTTTTGTTTTGAGACCAAATTTCACTCTTTTTTTTTTTTTTTTTTTTTGAGGTGGAGTCTCGCTCTGCCGCCCAGGCTGGAGTGCAGTGGCCGGATCTCGGCTCACTGCAAGCTCCGCCTCCCGGGTTCACGCCATTCTCCTGCCTCAGCCTCCCGAAGGCTGGGACTACAGGCGCCCGCCACCGCGCCCGGCTAATTTTTTGTATTTTTTTTAGTAGAGACGGGGTTTCACCGTGTTAGCCAGGATGGTCTTGATCTCCTGACCTCGTGATCCGCCCGTCTCGGCCTCCCAAAGTGCTGGGATTACAGGCTTGAGCCACCGCGCCCGGCCCAAATTTCACTCTTATTGCCCAGACTGGAGTGCAATGGCGTGATCTCGGCTCACTGCAACCTCCGACTCCTGGGTTCAGTCGATTCTCCTGCCTCAGTCTCCGACTAGCTGGGATTACAGGCACGCTCCACCACGCCCAGCTAATTTTGCATGTTTAATAGAGACGGGGTTTCTCCATGTTGGTTAGGCTGGTCTTGAATTCCCGACCTCAAGTAATCCTCCAGCCTTGGCCTCCCAAAAGTGCTGGGGATTACAGGTGTGAGCCACCGTGCCCAGCTTTTTTTTTTTTTTTTAAAGATTGAATCTCGCTCTTATTGCCCAGGCTGGAGTGCAAGTGCCACAGTCTCGGCTCACTGAACCTTTGCCCCAAGGTTCAAGTGATTCTTCTGCCTCAGTCTCCTGAGTGGCTGGGATTACAGGTGCCCACCGCCAAACCCCGGCTAACTTTTTGTATTTTCAGTAGAGATGGAGTTTCCCCATGTTGCCCAGGCTGGTCTATCCACCTGCTTTGGCTTCCCAAAGCACTGGGATTACAGGTGTGAGCCACCATGCCCGGCCAGGTAGTTTGTTGTCACTTAATTAGAGTGAGCCGGGTGCAGTGGCTCACGCCTGTAATCCCAGCACTTTGGGAGGCTGAGGCAGATGGATCACCTGAGGTCAGGAGTTCAAGACCAGCCTGACGAATATGGTGAAACCCCATCTCTACTAAACATACAAAAATTAGCTGGGCATGGTGGCGGGCACCTGTAGTCCCAGGTACACGGGAGGCTGAGACAGGAGACTTGCTTTAACCCGGGAGTCGGAAGTTGCAGTGAGCCAAGATCATGCCACTGCACTCCAGCCTGGGTGACAAAGCAAGACTCCGTCTCAAAAAAATAGTAGAGGGAATCAGCTGAGGCAGTCGTGAAGGAGGGAAGAAAGGTGCATTTAGCTTTCTCCTGCCACCATTACCCTGAGGCTAGGGAATCAGGATAATGAGAACTGAGAGATAGGATTTGTGGTTGGAGCATCTTTCTTTGATTACATCAATTTCATGAGTCACAAATTGTGTGTGAAACACAAAGAAGGTCTTTCTGGTTGCCTCTAAATGTGCCATAAATAAAGAGTTTGCCATAAAGAGTTTTCTTAGGAAGGTGGCTTTGTTTTGTTTTAGTTTGTTTTTACAAACTAAACTTTTATTTTAGGTTCAGGATATACATGTGCATGTTTGTTACATGGGTATATTGCATGATCCTGAAGTTTGGAGTACAATTGATCCCATCATCCAGGTAGTGAATACAGAACCTAATAGTTTTTTTCTTTTCTTTTTTTTTTTTTCTTTTTTTTTTTTTTTTGGGACGGAGTCTCAAACTATCGCCCAGGCTGGAGTACAATGGTGCGATCTCGGTTCACTGCAACCTCTGCCTCCTGGTTTCACACGATTCTCCTGCTTCAACCTCCTGAGTAGCTGGGATTACAGGTGCACACCACCACACCTGGCTAAGTTTTCATATTTTTAGTAGAGACGGGGTTTCACTATGTTGGCCAGGCTGGTCTCAAACTCCTGACCTCATGATCCACTAGCCTCGGCCTCCCAAAGTGCTGGGATTACAGGCGTGAGCCACCGCGCCTGGCCCTGATAATAAGTTTTTCAACCCTTGTTGCCCTCCCTCCCTCCTCTCTCTCAAAGTCCCCACTATCTATTTTTGCAATCTTTATGTCTATGAGTACCCAATGTTAAGTGAGAACATGTGTTAGGTATGTGGTCTTCTGTTCCTGAGTTAATTTGCTTAGGATAATGGCCTAATCTCTATTGTGACAAAGGACATGATTTTGTTCTTTTTTATGGCTGCATAGTTTTTTAGTCCAAGTGTCTTCCAGCAGTCATAAGGTTGGAATTTGGACCAAGTCTCTGACATTCTTCCCATCTCTGTTAGTCTACAATTCTGTGATTCCATTATCGGAAGGTAATGGAAAACATTTCTTTTTTCTTTAATGATAAAAAGATCAAGGTGTTTGCTCTAGATATGATTGTCTTACTTGTGGGAACTTTACCACCTTTTATTATTTTGTTTCTTTTTTCTGCTGGAAATGCGTTTGCTGTCACTTATGCCATATATCGCTGTGCCAGCTTAAATTGTCGAAGGGAAAGGCTTTGTTCTCACCACTGCTGATTTGTCTCTGGTTAAATACTTTGCCCTCTGGCACTTGTATATGTTTGCTACGTGGCCGGATTTAGGAAGTGCATTTATAGCTTCTAGTGAATGACTTTCTGGGTGAACTAATATAGAGAGATCCTAAAGTGTCATCTTTAATTATTAATTAGGAAGTGATTAATACTGACTTAAAGAGTGAATCTTCTGAGCCAATTGTGAAGGAAGGAGGTGTGTTTAGCTCTCTCTGCCACCATTACCCCAGAGCACTGACGATTCCAAGTGAGACTAGGGGATAAACAGCTGCTCATGCATCTGTGGCCTTCATCCTGGTCAAAGTATTCTGGAAAACTAAATGCTCTTTCTGTCCAAAGTCATCTGGCCATGGAAATGCTTTTCCTTCTATTTTGAGACAAAATAACTAGAGTAGAAAAATAGAAGATCTTGGGTAGGCAGAGTATTTTTTAAACTTTTTACTGAAGTACAACATGCGTATACAGAGATACGTACATATCATAAGTATATAACTCAATGAATTTTCACAAACTAATACTCTTGTAATGAGCACTCAGATTTAAAAAAACAAAAAACAAAAAACAAAAAACAAACATTGTCAATCCCCCTAGAATTCCCTTTACATTCCTTTCCAGTGATTAACTCTCCAAGAAAAGTACTTTCCTGACTACGAATAACACAGATTAGCTTTGTCAGTTTTTGGCTTATATAAGTGGAATCATGTAGCATATGTACTCTTTTGTGTATCTGGCTGTGAGATTTATTCCTATTCTTATTGGTTTTTTCCTTTTTCCTAAAAGAGACTGCATCTTGCTCTGTCTGCCAGACTGGAGTGCAGTGGAATGATCAAAGATCACTATAACCTCACACTCCTGGGCTCAAGTGATCCTCCTGCCTCAGACTCCTGAATAGTTGGGATTACAGGCATGTGCCACTGAACCTAGCTTATTCTTATTGTTGAAATGTAGTTGTGAATAGAAGACAATTTCCCATTATTTAACTTTTAAACATTAAGATATCGGATAGTGATCAAACTAAGGTTGGTTGGTTGGTTGGTCGGTTGGTTGGTGGTTCAACTTTTCTTTCTTTTCTTTCCTTTTTTTTTTTTTTCCTGAGATGGAGTCTCGCCTCTGTCCCAGGTTGGAGCACAGTGGGCTATCTCGACTCACTGCAACCTCCCGCCTCCTGGGTTCAAGTGATTCTCCCTGCCTCAGCCTCCCCGAGTAGCTGGGACTATAGGCACGCGTCACATGCCTGGCTAACTTTCTGTATTTTTAGTACAGAGCAGTTTTACACATGTTAGCCAGATGGTCTCGATCTCCTGACCTCAGCCTCCCAAAGTGCTGGGATTACACGGTGTGAGGCCAACACAGCGCCCAGCCTGTGTTTTTCTGTTTTGTGTTTTGTTTTGTTTTGTTTTGTTTTTTTATAAGGAGAATATGGCTATGGTAAAGAAAAAAATAGCCTGGGCAACGTGGTGAGATCCCATCTCTACAAAACAATACCAACATTAGCTGGGCGGGGATGTGCGCCAATAGTCCCAGCTACTCGGGAAGCTGAGGTAGGAGGATCACTTGCGCCTGGGGTGGTCGAGGCTTCAGTGAGCTGAGATTGTGCCACTGCACTACAGCCTTGGTGCCAGAGTAAGACCCTGTTTCAAAAAAAACAAAAGAAAGAAAGAAAACATACTCTTTCAGAGGAAGATAAACTGGTACAACCTTCTTGGAAAACAAATTAGTAATGTATACCAATGAGTTTTAAAATTGTCAGTGTTCTGTGACTCAGTAATTTCCTAATAGGAATCTGCTCTTAGAAAATAAGCCAGGGGCTGGGGCAGTGGCTCACGCCTGTAATCCCAACACTTCAGGGACTGAGGCAGGCAAATCACTTGAGTCCAGGTGTTTGAGAAAAGCCTGAGCAACATGGTGAAACCCTGTCTTTATAAAAAAATACAAAAAATTAGCTAGGTGTGGTGGCATGTACCTGTAATCCCAGCTACTTGGGAGGATGAGGTAGGAGGATCACTGAGCCTGGGGAGATTGAGGCTGCAGTGAGCCATGATCGTGCCACTGCACTGCAGCCTGGGCAACAGGGTGAGACCCTGTTTCAGAAAAACAAGAAAGAAAGAGAATAAGCCAGGTGTGGTGACATGCGCCTGTAGTCCTAGCTACTCATTAGGCTGAGGCAGAAGGATCACTTGGGTCCCGGAGATCAGGACCAGCCTGGACAACACAGGAAGACCTCTGTCTCTAAAAGGAAAAAAGAAACAGAAAAGTCTTCGCACACATACAAGAGGGTTATTAAAATGTTATTTTTTGAGAGTAAAAAACTTTGGAAATAAACTAAGTGTCTGTAATGGGAAAATGATAACATGTTTACAACTGTTCAAATGTTTATAAAGAATTTAAAAAGGGATGGCAATATACTCAGATACAGCATTAAAATAATCAAGATGTAAATGTATATTCAGCTTGATAGAAACAATTTCAGATACAGACATTTTAACAGGCACTGGAAGGAATGATAAAGTGTTGACACCTGTTGTTTTTCCTGTGGATAGTGGGATTATGGGAATTTTCCCCCATTCTCCACCAATGTTTCACTTTTAGTTTGTATTACTGTTTATAAGTCAAGATAAAACAAAGAAGTTTCCATCTTGGCATAACCCTTCAGAGTCAATGACTTGTTTTCCTGGGGATGCTTTGGGCTTTGCAGCCCAGCTGACCCCCACAGGAGCCTCAGCGGAGGCCTCAACAATGAGCTCTGCATTTGGTTTTACAGCTTTTCTGGGATTTCTCTCGCTTCCTTGTTAGGTCAGCTCAACTACCAGGCAGCCTCTCCAGATGAAGGTGCTCTGGTAAACGCTGCCAGGAACTTCGGCTTTGCCTTCCTCGCCAGGACCCAGAACACCATCACCATCAGTGAGCTGGGCACTGAAAGGACTTACAATGTTCTTGCCATTTTGGACTTCAACAGTGACCGGAAACGAATGTCTATCATTGGTAAGTCCCCCTCAGAGTCTGTCTATGAATCGCTCATTTAGATATTGCTTGTGCCCATTGTATTGAATGGCACCAGGATAAAGTAGCCAGCAAACAAGCTACTTGGCTCCTGGGAGATTTCTGCAGATTTTTTGAAACTAGTATTGTTTTCTTCATTCTTCACTGTGTTCCCTACTCAAAGGGACAGCCGCAGTATCTCTGAATCTTGCAAATGCTGCTGATATTCTTTTTTAATCTCTCTCTTTTTTTTTTTTTTGAGATAGAGTCTTGCTTTGTCACCCAGGAGTGCAGTGGTGTGATCTCAGGTCACTGAAACCTCCGCCTCCCGGGTTCAAGCGATTCTCCTGCCTCAGCCTCCTGAGTAGCTGGGATTACAGCTGCTGACATTCTTTAACCATGTGGGCTGCCAGATGCTGAATCTGGGGTGGCAGGTGGAATGCTTCTGAAGTAGCAGATGGACATTTGTAGCAGTCTTTTATTTTAAACAACACAAGCTCTTTTATTTTTTGAGCACCTCTGAGTGCTGTCTTCTGTACTTGATGGCAGGGAAGGGAGGGCTCAGCAGGAAAAGATTTCTGAGAAAATCAAGGCTATGCTTATGAATCAAAATCATGCCTGCAATGCAGGCACATAGCAGACCACCAAGTGAAGATGAAAATCACTTCCTACCACTGAACTGCTTTAAATTTGTAGTTTGAAATAATCTCAAACTTACAGAAAAGTTGCAAGAATGGTTTAAAGAACTCTCATACTCTTCCGTATCCAGCAAATGTTAACATTTGCCATATATATATAATTTCATTATATATATACATCTATATATACATACATATATATGTACACACACATACATACAGATTATTGTTTTCTGAACCATTTGAGAATAAATTGCACTAGAAGGAGCAAGATTACATAATAAAAAAAGAAAATAAAAATATAAAAAAGAGACTAAATTGCAGGCCTAATGTCCTTTCCCCTAAATACTATACTGTATACCATAGTAGGTATTTCCTAAGAATAGGAACACTCACTTATATATACAGTCCAATGATCAGAACCAGAAAATTTAACACAGTACAATATTATCTAATCAATAGACTTTTTCAGATTTTACTAGGGAAGTTCATTCTTTGTTTTTCTCATCCAGGATCCAATCGAAGATCACAGGTTACGTTAGGTGATCATGACTCTGAGTCAAGGATGGTTCAATCTCTTTTTGATCTTTCATCCATTGACATTTTTAAAAACCACACACTGGTTATTTTATAGGCTATTCCCCAACTTGGGTTTGTCTGATATTCCCTCATGATTAGAGCTAGGTTACACATTGTTGGCAGGAAGAGTCCGTAAGTGATGCTGTGCTCTTCTTTAAGTATCACATCAGAAGGTGTATATATATATACACACACACACACATATGTATATATTTATGTGTATATATGTGTGTATATATACATATATGTATATATGTGTGTATATATACATATATGTATATATGTGTGTATATATACATATATGTGTATATGTGTGTATATACATATATGTGTATATATGCGTGTATATACACATATGTGTATATATGTATATATGTTTATAATGTTGTATAATATGTGTGTATATATAGTTTTCATATACGTAGGATCAGTAATATGCATGGGATATGAGGGGGCGTGACGCGGGCGCATATACTAGGCGCGTCTGCGGCGTGTTCTGGAAGACTGGATTTCACTCTTGTTTGCCCAGGCTGGAGTGCAATGGTATGATCTCAGCTCACCACAACCTCCACCTCCCAGGTTCAAGCAATTCTCCTGCCTCAGCCTCCTGAGTAGCTGGGATTACAGGCATGCGCCACCACTCCCGGCTAATTTTGTATTTTTTAGTAGAAACAAGGTTTCTCCATGGTGGTCAGGCTAGTCTCCAACTCCTGACCTCAGGTGATCGGCCCACCTTGGCCTCCTAGAGTGCTGGGATTACAGGCATGAGCCACCCTGCCTGGCCAGAAGGTATATATTATTGGTTTGTCTCATTATTGGAGATGTTAACTTTGATCACTTGGTTAAGGTGGTGTCTACAAGCCTTCTCCACTATGACTGAATTTTTAACCAATAAAAATATATAGGTTTAACTGTCTATTACACTCTCCTTACGCACACTTACTGAATGCTTTCTGTGTCCCTCACACAGATCTAGATTGATTATCATGCTTGCCATCTACCTTGACTTAAAATCTAGTTAGCAATGAGGGATGTATTACAATTATTGCATTAATCAAAAAAACAAAAAAATAAAAAGGTCACAAGGAGGGGTGTTGTGGTCCAAGTATTAAAGGCAGTAAGTGTTGTGAGTTCATAGGTAAGAAACTTCCTGTTGGTTGGATGGAGAAAAATTCTATGAAAGAAAGTAACTAGCACATGGCATAGCATATGGCAGGGAATCAGTAAATATTTGTTGGAAGAATAACTAAGGTTATGAAAAACAGAGCTGACTGTGAAGAAATCTTTTTATATTTATTTCACTATTATATTCAATGTAGATAATGACTTACCAGTTTTGTTGAAGGCAACACTTTTCTAGAGGAACTGATGGTTTTAAGCTAATAGTGAATTATGAGATAGTAACACTTCAAATTAACTTTGTAAATGTAGTTTTATATTAAGAAATCAAACTTAGCTGGGTGCTGTAGCTCACATCTGTAATCCCAGCACTGTGGGAGGCTGAGGCAGGAGGATTACTTGAGCCCAAGAGTTCAAGACCAGCCTGGATAACATAGTGAGGCCTCCATATCTATAAAAATAAAAATTAGCCAGGCATGGTGGCATGCACCTGTAGTCCCAGCTACTCGGGAGGCTGTGGGAGGATTGCAAACCTGGGAGGTCAAGGCTACAGTGAGCCAATATTACACTGCTGCACTCCTCCCTGGGCGACAGAGCAAGATCCTGTCTCAAAAAATATATATTAAAAAAATCAAACTTTGTTGTGTTTATTTCCTTCTTTTACGGCCAGTAAGAACCCCAGAAGGCAATATCAGGCTTTACTGTAAAGGTGCTGACACAGTTATTTATGAACGGTTACATCGAATGAATCCTACTAAGCAAGAAACACAGGATGCCCTGGATGTAAGTTCCACTTTTATTCTTTCTGCAAGGGATTCTGATCTTACTCTCTGATGCTGTCTGTTAAGTTTGCATGAAAGCTGTATGTTAACTATTGACCCTCCCTTTGCTTTGGAATAGTTGGGGTGGAAAGAGCAGCAAAGTAGAAATATGGCCATCTGGGTTCCAGTTCTGCCCCTACCGCTGACTTTCTGGGATATCACCGTGGTGCCTTCTCCCAGCATGTGGGTCTTCAGGGTCTATAGGACTGAGGCAGGAGAATGACTTAGCTCTCTTCCAGTGACCTTGAGCAAGCTACACAACCATACTAGGTTGTAGTCTTACTATGTATGTGGCCCCCAAGAACTCCACTAACTTCAAGGTGTAGTGTGAAGGAAGGAAAGCATTCATATGTGGCAGGATGACAGAGCAATGTGTTGGATCATTGACTTTTGATAGCTTTGTTGGTAAAATCACTTTGATCTTAATTACTTCCAAGTCCTTAGGAAGCTGTCTGTATGTTTAGTCCCATGATGTTGCCACTACTCAGAATATCTCTGGATCTTGCACTGTTGTTTGGTACAACAATGGCAGGGAGGCATGGAGGAGATCAGGCAGACCTGGTGTCCCTGCCTCTTTACTAGCTTGTGTCTTTGGAAAAAATGGTAGATATATCATATGAATCATTAATTCCCCCTGTGAAAGAGGGAAGGGATAATTCCGATCTTGGAGGACCATTGCAAGAGAAAGCATCTTCCATACTGGCTAGCACCTAGGAGGTACTTAATAAAGGTTGGAGATTTTTCCCCTTTGCTTTAAGGATCGATTGAGTTTTAGAACCACCCAAACATCCTTCAGAGAAGAGCCTGATTAGTATATTGTCTCCTAGATAGAGTCACATTTTAAGATTATATACTGATGCTGATGCACTTAAAACTGATGAGATCTTATGAGGATATGAACGATGACAATCTAATCAAATAAATGCAGAACCTTCCAAAGAATCTCGAAAGCAAATACTCAACCAGTTGAACCACTTCTGCCATCTTGGCTAGACAAGATGTGACTATAGGCCAGGCGTGGTGTCTCACGCCTATAATCCCAGCACTTTGGGAGGCCAAGGTGGGTGTATCAACTGAGGGTAGGAGTTCAAGACCAGCCTGACCAAACATGGTGAAACCCCGTCTCCACTAAAAATACAAAAAATTAGCCAGGTGTGGTGGCGGGCACCTGTAATCCCAGCTACTTGGGAGGCTGAGGCAGGAGAATCGCTTGAACCTGGGAGGCAGAGGGTACAGTGAGCCGAGATCATACCATTGCACTCCAGCCTGGGTGACAAGAGCAAAGCTTGGTCTCAAAAAATAAAAAATTTAATTTAATTTAAAAAAAAAGATGTGACTATAAAGTAATGAGATATTTACTGGTTCTTGTTGAAACTGCTTAAAATGTTTAAATCGGGCTGGGCACAGTAGCTTGCACCTGCAATCCCAGCACTTTGGGAGGGTGAGGCGGGCGGATCACAAGGTCAACAAATCGAGACCATCCTGGCCAACATGGTGAAACCTCATCTCTACTAAAAATTACAAACAACTTTAGTGCCGGGCGCAAATGGCGCGTGCCTGTAGTGCGTCAGCTACTCAGGAGGCTGAGGCGCAGCGAGAAATGGCGTGAATCCGGGGAGCCAGAGGTTGCAGGAGCCCAAGATTGCACCTTGCACTCAAGCCTGGGCCAACAGAGCAAGACTCCATCTCAAAAAAAAAAAAAAAAAGAAAAGAAAAAGGAAAAAAAAGAAAATGTTCAAATCGTTCACCATTGAAAATTGCCAGACTACTCTTTACCATTAAAAGGTTTGACCTCAGCTTTAATAATGGCTTCTGTATTTTAGGAATTGGTTTGGGAGGGCGAATCTTATGCGTTTCGGTGGAGAGTCATAGGTTGATTGCGACTCGCTATCACAGTTTGTTTGGAAACAATGTTACTTAAAAGCCTGCTCAGGTTCATGCTTACGCTCATTACACCCCAAGGCAGGGCCTCCCTTGAGTTCCTGGAGGTATTTTTCTAGTCATTAAGAGGAAAAATCTTTTAAGAGAAAAAATTCATTCAGAGAAAAAGAGAAAGGTAATAGAAGACTTAGAAGAAAGACAAACTTTTCCCTTTGGAAACTAGAAGTACAGTCCTGGACCCTACAGAAGTTTAGAAAAGCAAAGTCTATTATAAAGTGACGTTTAGGCCGAGCGCAGTGGCTCATGCCTATAATCCCAGCATGCTGGAAGGCTGAGTTGGGCAAATCACATAAGCTCATGAGTTCAAGACCAGCATGATGAAACCCCGTCTTTACAAAAAAAGTACAAAAGTTAGCCAGGCGTTGTGGTGCACACCTGTAGTCCCAGCTACTTGGGAGGCTGAGGTGAGAGGATGACTTCAGCCTGCAAGGCAGAGGTTGCAGTGAGCCAGGATTGCATCACTGCATCCCAGCCTGGATGATAAACCCAAACCTTGTCTCAAAAAAAAAAAAAAAGAAGTGACATTTAATCCCCTCTCTAAAATGTATTTGTACAGAATCCGTCATCTTTAATGGTCTCTTTTTAAATTCTGTTAGTATATTACTTCAAAGTAAAATTTCATACTTGATCCTGAATTACATAAAATTAACTATTCTTTGCATTGGTGGATTTATTTTTTTAAATAAAACAGATCTTTGCAAATGAAACTCTTAGAACCCTATGCCTTTGCTACAAGGAAATTGAAGAAAAAGAATTTGCACAATGGAATAAAAAGTTTATGGCTGCCAGTGTGGCCTCCACCAACCGGGACGAAGCTCTGGATAAAGTATATGAGGAGATTGAAAAAGACTTAATTGTGAGTTTTAGCCTTAATAACTTTTTCTTTGATATTCTAAGCAGAATTGAAATTTTTATTAAGTTTTATTGAATATTTGATCTCATGCTTAAGAGATAATTGCAACTTCAACATTTGACACTGGCACAATGGAAGAAGGTAATTTCTTTTGTTCACCAAAATAGGAGCAGAACAGAAGTTGCCATTATGAGAAACCAAAAGACAAAATACATTAGGAGAGATTCTAATTCAATTCCATAATTTGTATATCACTTATTAAAATTCATTATAATTTTTAAACAATAACGAATCTGCATCTAATATTACATTGGGGGAATTACTGAAACAATTCATATTCTGCAAAATCTTGAAATAAGAAAAATATATTGTTTCTAAAAGTTTTCCAAATTTAATACATAGTTTTCATAGAGTTTAGATCAGTGGAAAATATTCAACAAATAGCTAGTGTTGCAACTGGTTAATGTCAGTGTAAAGCCACAAATACACAAGGAAAGTATTTTTAACATCCTTGATTTTGTACTTGCATTTTTATCTTGCTAAATTAAATAGTTCATCCTTTAGGGAAAATGTTTTTAGCTGTGTTGGTTTGCAGTAATTGAGAAACATGGCAGCCTTCCCTGTCAACACTGGCCATTGGCACCAGGAGAGCAGCAACCAGGAAGTATAATTTGCCCTTCTTTTTACAGGTTGGCAACCTGTAATTACAGAAAACTTTTGGTTTATTTGCTAATCCCCCCCCCTTTTTTTTTTAAATATACATTCTAGCTCCTGGGAGCTACAGCTATTGAAGACAAGCTACAGGATGGAGTTCCAGAAACCATTTCAAAACTTGCAAAAGCTGACATTAAGATCTGGGTGCTTACTGGAGACAAAAAGGGTAATTCATTGTGCAGGGAAGCATATCTGTTAATTCACAAATATTTATAGCTGCCGTTTCCTTTGCCCAAGATGACCTCCTCAGACTTTTCATCCTGTACAAACACTGTTTCTTTGGGCGGAAGATGCTTTTTCTGAGAAACTCTCCTCTGTTTTTCCAGCACACCCTTCTGCATCCTTTCCTGATCCCCCTCAGCAGCAGTGTCTTCCTCATAATTTAGCTCCTGGCCATGTCTTGATGATTATAATTGGTCTTATCTCTCCAGCCAGACATGGGCTCCCGTCCTGAAAGGGCCATCCCTCTTATCCCTCTGTCCTTCCAGTGCTTTGACATTTGGTGGGTACAGAGTAGAACAATACAAAGTGCTGAACAATAACTTCGGTTTTCTTGCCAATTTTATTGCTTGGCAATAAAATTGTATACCTAAGGAAAGAACGATTTTAATTTTTTAACTTTAGAACTCAACAAGCACTTGTTTGGTATTGACACTTTACTTTGCAAGCCTTCCACAAGAAATCAAATAACGTCTCTTGCTCTGAAATCGTCAATGGGTTATACACTCTGCAAAATTACAGGAGGCACAGCCCTGACCTTAAATAAATGCCAAATTGGGTGGTAATTTAAAAGGAAGAAAAAAATCTTCACGTGAGGGTTGGTGGAAATTATTATGCTTCCCTCTGCCCCCCTCCCCCTGCCAATAACAGAGTAATTAAACCATGAACTGAAAGTGTTTAGTAATTTAGTGAACATTGGTTTATTAAATAACCAGTTTATATGTTTGATAATATAGCACATTTTATTTATTGAAAACATTTCAAATTAGACTTTGACTTTCACTTATTTTCTTATAGAGAACAGCATTTTTTTTCTGCATGTGATTCCTATAGATCGCTATAGAAAAACAGCGTATTTGTGTGAATCTTGTTATGTTCATGAACTAAAAAATATCATTACTAGGTAAAATCAATTATTCAGTTCAACAGTAAGAATGAGCCTGGCAAACATGACGAAATCCTGTCTCTAGAAAAAATACAAAAGTATTTTCTATTGGTAGCTTGGTAGCGAGTTGTGTAGTCCCAGCTACTTGGGGGCTGGGGGCAGTGCTGAGATGGGAAGATCACTTGAGCCCTGGAGGTTGAGGCTGCAGTGAGCAGATACCGTGTCACTGCACTCCAGTCTAGGCAATGGGAGTGAGATGCTGTCTCAAAAACACAAAATAAAAACAGCAGGAATGACATTGACTTAATTTTATTGTATTGTAGAAACTGCTGAAAATATAGGATTTGCTTGTGAACTTCTGACTGAAGACACCACCATCTGCTATGGGGAAGATATTAAGTGAGTAAAAGCCTGCAGTATGAAATTACATAAGAGCTCATCTTTTCAAATGCAAGGCTGTCTGTAGAAGATAGCAGATATGGAGAAATAGGGGCTACGATATGTCACTTGGGGCAGTTTCCTCAAGTTTAAATGAAGCAAGACAACAACAGGCAGTTTCAAGTAATCAAGGTTCAGCCTAAATTTGAGCAGATTTTACTTTTAGGGAAACTTGGGGCCCTTCAGAGGCCACTTTTCTCCATTCCTTCTTAGCTCAGGCCAGGCGCAGTGGCTCATGCCTGTAATCCCAGCCCTTTGGGAGGCTGTGGTGGGTGGATCACCTGAGGTCAGGAGTTCGAGACCAGCCTGGCCAACATGGTGAAACCCCACCTCTACTAAAACTACAAAAATTAGCTGGGTGTGGTGGCTGGCAAGTGTAATCTCAGCTACTCGGGAGGCTGAGGCAGGAGGATCACTTGAACATGGGCGGCAGAGGTTGCAGTGAGCCAAGATCACGCCACTGCACTCCAGCCTGGGTGACAACAGCGAAACTCTCTCATTAAAAAAAAAGTCTTCTCTGTTCACCTACTGGAAAAGGAAGTGAGCCTGTCATATCACTAGCAAATTAATATGAATTATAGTCCTGTTTTGCTTTTTCTAGGAACTTTTACTTTTGAAAGGGAAATAGAAGAAAGGAAAAAAAAGCTTTTGCCCGGAAGGAAATGTGTGGGTGGGTTACATCATGTAGGTCCTCTGTAATCTAGTCTGGGTGGGGCAGGCCTGATAATTCAAATGTCAGCATATGCTGAAACATTTGTTAGCTTTAAATCAGAGTCGCAGCAGACCTGGAAATGTATGATGAAAAAGCCATGTCTTGTTCTGAAGCTATAATATGCTGCACACAGTTACTGTGTTTACTGATGGCCTGACAGTTCCTCAGCTTTTTCCCTACAACACCTCTCTCAGGCCAGCATGAGGTCAGATTAAGCTGTTAACATACACACTTGCGAGGTGTGATAAAGTGATGAGGGAATTGATGGTCAATATTCGTCTTATTTCTCATGACGGTGATAAAGTGTTTTCTAGTTGTTCTAGTATATTAGGTGTTCCGTTAAATTAGACAAAATCAGTAGCCTTATGATCTAACTCAGTTCCATTTAGAACTGATTTAGTTTGTGTGCCTGAGTAGAGGCACATTAACCATGCCCCTTAGTGTTTTTAGGTTTTAAAAAAGTAGCAACAGGCTGGGCACGGTGGCTCATGCCCGTAATCCCAGCACACTGGGAGGCTGAGGCGGGTGGATCACGAGGTCAGGAGTTTGAGGGCCTGACCAATATGATGAAACCCCTCTCTACTAAAAATACAAAGATTAGCCGGGCGTGGTGGCGGGTGCCTGTCATCCCAGCTACTCGGGAGACTGAGGCAGGAGAATCGCTTGAACCTGGGAGGCACAGGTTGCAGTGAGCCAAGATCGTGCCACTGCACTCCAGCCCTCCTGGGTGACAGAGCGAGACTCTATCTCAAAAAAAAAAAAAAAAAGGTAGCAACAGACAAATAAATGCTTAATGAGTTTACTTTTAGTTCTGGGTTTCAAGTAATTCGGTTAATTACTATATGCAATGATTCTCAGTGGGGAGTGACTCTGCCTTCCAGGGACCCTTTTTGACACTGTCCAGAGACACTTGTTTGTTTCAACTGCGGAGGAGAAGTACTCCTGGCTTCTAATGGGTAGAGGCCAGGGATGCTGCTGAACATCCTACAGTGCAAGGGATGGCCACATAAAATAAAGGATTATTAGGCCCAGGACATCAAGAGTGCCAAGGCTGAGAAACCTTCTTTGGAAGGAGAAGAACAATGGCTTTTTGCATGTAATAGTAAGAGTCCTGAGCCAGGAGTTACAAGATAACTGAGTCCTCATTCCATTCTTCCTATCAACTCGCAGCAGGCAAATCACATCACCTTCCTCTGGCTTGATTTCCTTATTTGTAACATGAAGAGATTGGACAAGATATTTAAGGTCCCTTCCACTCCAAAGTTTCATGACTCATTTTTCTATCACATGAAAGTGTTATATGTGGCCTTGTCACATATATCATTTTAACATAAACATTCAATTTGTTGATATAAAGCACTGAGAATTTCTCACAGATATAATTTTGTTTATATGAAAATAAGTTTCTTCCTAACAAACAATAGCCAGTATTCTAATTCAGATCAAGATTGCCTTTCCTTTTTTTTTTTTTTAATGAAAAAGACTCTTTCTGCCACCCAGGCTGGGGTGCAGTGGTGCAATCTTGTCTCTTTGCAAACTCCACCTCCTGGGTTCAAGTGATCCTCATGCCTCAGCCTCCCAAGTAGCTGGGATTACAGGCACCACCACCATGCCTGGCTAATTTTTGTATTTTTAGTAGAGACAGCGTTTCACTATGTTGGCCAGCCTGGCTTGGAACTCCTGACCTCAGATGATCTGCCCGCCTCAGCCTCCCAAAGTGCTGGGATTACAGGTGTAAGCCACAGTGCCTGGCCTAAGATTGCCTTTCTTCTGTTGCTGTGTATACATTTTCAACTGTATCTTCCTTTAGCTGTCTTTGAAAAACGGTGAATTACCAACAACATGGTACCCCCCCATGGTGGACGAATCAAGACTTAGTAAAATTACATGTCACTCAGTTAAAAAAAAAAAAAGGCTGGCTGGACACGGTGGCTCATGCCTGTAATCCCAGCACTGTGGGGGACTGAGGCGGGCGGATTGTGAGGTCAAGAGATTGAGACCATCCTGGCCAATATGGTGAAACCCTGTCTCTACTAAAAATACAAAAATTAGCCAGGCGTGGTGGCACACACCTGTAGTCCCAGCTACTTGGGTGGCTGAGGCAGGAGAATTGCTTGAACCTGGGAAGCGGATGTTGCAGTGAGCTGAGATCACACCCTCGCGCACTCCGCCTGGCGAACAGGCGAGACCTCTGTCTAAAAAAAAAAAAAAAAAAAAATTGGGTAAAGCACCTTTGAGTAGACATTTTTCCAAAGAGGATATATCAAATGGCTGATAAACATGTGAAAGGATGCTCATCATCACTAATCATTAGGGGAAGAGAAATCAAAACCAAAGCAAGATAATACCTCACACCCTTTAGGATGGATACTATCAAAAACAAACACAATAGAAAATAAGCATTGTGAAGGAACCTTTGTGTGTTGTTGATGAAATAATAATAAAATGGTGCAGCCACTATGCAAAACAGTATGGTGATGCTTCAAAAAATTTAAAACGGATTACCATATAATTCAACCAATCTCACTTCTGGGTATATACCAGAAATAATTGAAAGCAGGATTTCAAAGAGATACTGCGACCATCCCATCTGTTCATAGCAACCTGTTCACAGTAGCCAAGAGGTGGACACAAGCCAGGTGCCCTCATTGTGTGAATGATAAACACGAATGTGGATGC